TACAAGACTAAATACAATAGTAGCGAACAATAGGAATATGGCCGACGCCGAATATGTGGAGCACTAGAATAGAATAACAGAATAGAATAACGACTAACAGACACTAACCCCCGAATGGCTAAAGCCGTAGCCTTTTATACTAAGCACATACCCAACAACCCCTCTTAAATTTCTAAACTTATTAGACGAAACATTAATTACTTAATTAATTTCCTTTGCCATTCCTCTCCATCCCCATCCTCCTCATCAACATCAATCCCTAAATGTGTAAGCTCTTTTGCCGTTGTCCCACAACGTTTAAGGGTTCCCAAAACGAATTGAGCTGCTGCTTGTGTTTTAAGTTGTTTAACAAGACGAGATTCACTCCTTTCACGTTTAGAAGGCTTTAAAAATTATTTTTAAAAAATTAAATTTAATTTACTTTAGCAACACCAATTTTTAATATATTCGGCCAATAATTGAGTACTTTAAGAAAAAATGGGTTGCTTACACCAATAACACAAATATTATTCCAACGGCTGAAAAATAAATATTAGGTAATTAAAATAAATATTTCTAACCAATTCTGTTTTGAATTTAAAACTTCATTAAAATCAGAATCATGGATTGTAAAATATGGCCTATAATCAGGTTCATATCTCAATGGAGAAATTAAAGAAATTAATGAATAAACGATTGAAGAACATAATGAGGCATTTGGGGCACAAACAAGTAAGGGCTTAAAAATTGAATTTAAAAATAATTTTAATTTAAGAAAAACCTCTCCAAGTAATATTAATTCCCATAAAAGATGTAAATGTGGAAGGAGTCTTTTTATTCCACTAAAAATGTAATTAAAATTTGTTAAGTTTAAATTAAACTAAATAGGTACATATGAAAATGTTGGTCTGGTTCTGATATGGAGTCTAAAAGAACAACATTGCAGCGAATATCAATGAACTATATAAAATATGTTTATTAAATAAATATCAAAAATTAAAAGTATGTTAAAACAAAATAATTATTAGGGTTCCCAGACGAGTAGGGGGGCCAAAGGGAACAGTTTTCGGGGAGGCAGCACCACGGGGGGGGGGGAGGATGGGGACGGGAACGGGGAATTTTCAAAAAATCTCTCAAATTCCCCGACTTTCGGGGACGGGGAACAACCTTAATATTACTCATAAATTATCCAAATAAAATAATTCTTTTATTAATCTAATATATGCACTATCCCCTTTCCCCTTGATTTTTTAATTAACCAGATCTATCAACCAAACGCTGACTTATTAGAATAAAAGAGATCCCTTTCCGTTTGAAATTAATAATAAGAAATGTTAATCTTATCGAAGAATCTAATAAATAAATGGATTTTCACTAAGGAACAAAAAAACTATTTTAATTAACTACCTCAAATCCATTACAATCCTCATCTTCTAAGGATTGTTGTTTTAAATTAAAGGGCATTTGATTCCCATTTTGTTCAATAAAATTAGTTCCGGGGTCTAATTCAGACTCATTTTTGTGTAAATCTGCGGGGATTGAGCAACAAAAGCGAAGACCAAAAAGTGGCAAGGAAAGGAGTCTATCTCCCCCAGCTTTTGGTGATGGCCAATGTTGGCCTATTTGACGACAAGCTTTAAATTAAGAGATTATAAACCCAAATATATTAGTAATTAACCAGTTTCTATGGCACTTTCACCTGCCGTAAAAAATGCTAAAGCAACTTCACTCAAAATACGTGAAAAAAGTGCAACAAAAGGTAAATGACTGATTAGGACAATACTCTAAAAATAAATATTAAATTATAAAATATACGAACTAAGCCCGTATCTTTACCCAAAATCGAGAAAAACTGGGTATGGCTCTTAAAAATATTTCCGAATAGTATTAGTTTTCAGAAAAATATCATAGAGACACATGCCGTTAATCTTCCGAAGCGGTCTTAAGGGTATTTATGGAGCTATTGATAATAGTGTTGAAAAAACTTAAATAATGGGGTAGACGCATAATTTTTAGAGATCGGACAAACGGAAAAATCAGATATCAAATTATTTGATATTTGAAAATATTTGATTTTCTTCAAAACACATCAAACATATATTCGATCAAATATTTGATTTTCCAACATCAAATATTTGTTTGGTCCTATCTCTAATAATTTTGCGTCGCAAGTATTTATTATTACTAAGTTTTCCAAATATCTTAATTTATCAAAAAATCCACAAAATTTACACTTTTTATTTAACAAAAATAGAACCTTTTGAGAATACCCTCTATGTAAACTAGAATCTCGTTGACGTCTAAAATAAGCAAAACCATAAAGATATTGTTTATCAGGCCTAAGAGAAGGTGGAAGTTTTTGGGTAAATGAATCAAAACTTTAAAAAATAAATTTTTAATTACATATTTAATTTTTTTGAAAAAACCGTTTTTCATTATCCTCATTTATTTCCCCATTTCTCTTAATTCTAAAATGGTGTGAAGAATCTATATAACTACAAAATATTTATAAAATAATTTTTTTAATCATTTTTATTTTCCAAAACCTTCCATCCGAAGACATTTTTCTATTAATTTTTCCATTCATAAATATTGAAGGGGTAGAGGAAGAACACGAATTATTAATATTTGTTGAGGATGAATTTGAATCGGGAAATGATAAATAACAAATGTCAGAACGTTCAGTGGGTGATAAATAAGCGGAGCCGGGATAGACAACCTTTTTTTAAAATTTTAAAATAAATTTTAAAAATCAGACTTGGTAATGGATACGGATTTGGATACAGATAATTTCAAAATGCCTGCGGATATCAGCCTGTATCCGCCGTAAATATCCGGATATGGATACCAAAATCCATGGCCATTACCAAGTCTGATAAAAATATTTTTTATCCAAAATATTTTTCAAAAATTCTTTAGAAATTATTACGAACATTATTAGTTAAATAACATTCTATTAAGGATTTTGGGTTTTAATTTAATATATCTAGGTATCTCCAAACTATTTATAATAGATATCAGAAATATCTACGAACTGGATTGAAGAAAATTAAAAAGGAAAATCTACATAAATACGTTCCGTTTAACCTGATTAATTGCTCCCCTCAAATAATTACCCCATTTCCATTAATCACCCCATCCGGCGATGGATTGAAACAATAATTACCCACTAACAAATGCCCTAAAATACGTTCAAATTGCAAACCTCGTATAATTACCCTCCCTCGATTAATTAATCATTTAAGTGGAAGGTTGGAACAATAATTGCCCAGGGTAGTTATTAAAGGTTATACAGTATTTTACATTATTTCCCAAATTTTTTTGTTAAAATAAATTTTATAAAATTAAAATAATAAAAACTTCAATTGTCTGTCCAAGTTCCAAATCAAACGTGACAACACAAAAACAATGCATCCTTTTAAAATTTTAATTTTTAATATTTTTTAAAATTTAAAAACCATTTTTTAAATCGTTTCCAATATAATTGTTCACAATCATTTTCTTCCTCTTCAGATTTGTCATCTACATTAGAAAACCCACAACCACCATTCTCCCCCTCATCATCGATTATTTCTTTATTATTTTTCTTTTGTATATCCATTTTAAATTTTTTAAAAAGGCAAAAATTAAAATTTTAAAAAATATTTTTTTTCTCAAATTTTAATTTGAAAAAAAATTTTAATAACCCGGAAATAAAATAATTAAAAAAAATTATTGATTAAAAAAGAGAATTACTTATCTTTTTACTTTTTTAGTAGAAGGTAGACTTTATTTTAATATTTTTTCTATTTTTAGTTTTATTATTAATAAAATAAAATTCAAATTTTAGAGCAAATATTAAATAAAAATCAAAAAAATTATAAAAACGTGTTTAAATGTACCGTAACTGGTGAAATAATTACCCTGGGTAATTATTGTTTCAATATCTCTCTGGAGGGGGTAATTATTAGAGAGGATGTGCTGGATTTAGGGTATATCTCAATCCAATTGAGAAGAAATTGATTTATTTTTTGATATTGAGTCGTAAAATGCTCCAATAATTAAATTTGATAGTAATTCTTTAAATATTTTTAAAGTTTGAGTAAAATAACTAGGAGGTAATTATTTGAGAGAGGGTAATTATTTTAGAATTTACGGTACCCATTTTCGAAAAATCGATCGAGTGAAAATTTTTTAAAGATTTTTTGGATATATTATCCAATAGTGTATATAAATCTCATACATATAAAAATTTCAGATTAATTGGACAACCTGAAACTAAAAAATCAGAAAAAAACTATGTAGGTGGTTTTATAATTTTTAATACACTATATTTTAAAAATTTAATTAAAAAAATTAATTTAATTAAATTATTCGTTTAATTTTATTATACAAAATAAAATTTAGAAAAATTAAAGCTTTTTAATAAAATGACAAAAAATGGTAGAACCAAATCGATCATGCATTTGTCCTATATTTTTAACTTTTAGTACACAACCTATTTTATTACAACATTTTGTTGGAGGGAAACGGACAGTTTTTCTCCAATAATTTTTTATTAATTAATTGTAGAATAGAAACAGGTTTGTTAAAAATTAAAATATATTTACATCAAAAAATTACATATAATTTTTTGAATGATTAATAGAGATCGATATTTTCAAAAATCCTGGATCGGGATTTAAGTTAGTAACCTGGACAGGATTCTTAATCTGAATCAAGGAAAAATCCAGATCCAGAAAAAATTCATGATTATTTAATCTGAATGCAGCCTTGATTTCTGGATTTTTTTTTCTAAATCTAATTATATCCTTCTAAATCTACAGATATCCGCCTTAATCTTAGATATCCCTCTAAATCCTCCAGACATAAAAATCGTCTGGATCTGGACTCTGGATTTAGTTTATTGACCTGGACTGGATTCTGGCTCCAGGAAAAATCAAGACTGACAAAATCCAGACCGATCTCCAATATTTATAACGTATAAATAAAAGTTTAGATTTTCTATCTAGAGAAGAATAAAAGAGAAATACATGAAAAATTTAAATTAAAAATAATTTTGCTAAAGGTTTTTCAATAAAACAATGGAAGATTAAAGCCACAAAAAATGTTAAAATCAAAGCAAAAGGAAAAGCTAAAAGAAGGCCATAAACAGATTCAATTCTTTGGAAGGCTGAAATGTAGTTGAAAATAAATACCACAGGCATGTGTACAAGAAATGCAGAAAATGTTAATTGAGCAAATATAGACCAAATACGTGAAATTGGGCGGCTGAAAATTTAAAAAAATTTAATTAAATATTAATTCAATTTTTGATAATCCATGATTAATCTGATAAATAAAAGCAAACCCCCCGTAAAAAATTATCCCGTTCAATTACATCGCCTATATTTAACAGGTTTTTGTGTGAGTTATAAGTTTGATCGGGTTTTCGAGTTTTCGTGGTTTTCGAGGTTATAGCTCGGAAAATCCGGCCGGGTCAACTTGAAAGAAAAAAACGGATACCGTGCCAGCAAGGTGAAAAGTTCGAGCTCTGTTATTATAAATCGAACCAAAATAAATGCCGTATATATTCTATTACCTACCCTGGGTAATTATTGTTTCGACCTCTCTCTGGATAGGGTAATTGATAGAGGGGGGGGGGGGGTAATTAATAGAGGTTATTTTAGGAAGGCTAATTATAATTAATTTTTGGAAGCAATTATTGTTTCAACCTTTTGCTGGAGGGGGTAACTAATAGAGGTGGGGTAATTATTTGACGGAGTATATGTGGTATGTATTTATTTCTATAATGCCTTTTGAAATTCTAATTATTGCTAGAGGGGAAGGAGGGGGTATAGCAATCCCAATACCCCCTGCTTCTACTAAAATAATTTCTTCTACCTCGATCTTTCTCCATAAAGAACAGAAATAACAATAAAAGCAATCCCAAGAGTAAAAATCGTTCGAAACGTCGCAGTATATAAGATATTGTATAAAGTATTCCCTTGGTTCGGATACCAATATTCGGGCAAAATTCCATAAATTGTCAAAAATAATAATAAAAATCCTCCAAAGAAAAGGAATTTTGAAGTTTTTGGTTTTAATAGAAAAGTTTCTTTTAATGTTGTAAAATAGCCCATAATTAGTCCTATAAGGAAAGGACCGATTTTTGTTGTTGGACGAGCATAAAGTGAAAAAAGCGAAGAATAAGTTTGAAGAATATCATTGGAAAGGTTGGGAAAATAAACAAACTTTAAAAAAATAAAATATTTAAAATAGTCAGGGAAATTAATAGAAAAATGGGGAAAAAATTTAATTATTCAGAAAAAAAGTGAGGGGAAATTAGGTAGTTTATTTATCCGACTGAACATCCAACTTAATATTCCTAATCTAATAAACTATTCTACATCTTTTAGTGTCAAAACTTTTAGCCAGTAGCCCTTAAGCATTACTAAAATTTTTTTGTGAATCAGTATTGATACCAGAGGAGGGTCGGAACAGTCAGAGTTGTTGGAAATCGGAAGAGCCGGAAATCGGAACTGGCTCAAATGTCGGAAATCGGGAATTTTCCAAAATTTCGCAAATCGAAATTCCGACCCACCTCTGATTGATACTTCAAATTTACTCAAAATTTATCAACATTACCACCACCTATCGGCACTTCCTCACCAATATTAAAATATTCCTCACTCACCGGAATATCAACATCGCTATTATTACAAATTCCATTTATTTGGCAATGCCATCCACGAATAAAAATAGAACCTCCAATCATTATTATCAATAAAGAAATTCCAAATCGAGGCCTTTTCTCAAGTAAATATAACAAAAACGGAGTTAATAAGTAACATTGCCAATCTAGGCCTAAATACCAAAGCCACCCCATACAAGTTGGTATTTTCGAAAAATTATTTATAAAAAGAACATGTGAAAATAATTGTTTAGATGAGCAGTTTGAGACCATTGAATGATAAAATCTAAAAAAAATTTTTTTTGAAAAATTTTTTTTCAAGAAAACCCACTGTGGCAATGCCCATTTACCCAGAGGGCCTGCTGCAATGTATATAAAAGCTAAAGTTGGTGGGGCCAATCTCAACCAACGTCGAAACAAAAAACCAGAGGCATTTAACCAAAATGGACGGTCAACACTTCTGTGTCTTTGCCAGGATCGGGCTGCGAGAAATCCAGAAAGGAACAAAAAAATCTCAACACCAAGAGCTGAATTACCTTTAAAAAATAAAAAATATTTAAATCATGAATGAAAATTAATTATGAAGATAAGGGCTAAAATTAGGAAAAAAATAGTTTCATCGGCTAAATTCTAGTATTAGCATATTATAGCATATGTAAAGCATATAACTATTTAATTCCTAAGGCTTTGCAGTAGGCGGCGTGTGTATGTAATGGATACTGAAGTTGCTGGTTCGCTCCCAGCCGCCGAATAACCCTTTGCAATAGGTAAAGGAGAGAAATAGCTATAGCCCAGATGCTTTACTCATATTCCAACATTAATAAACTAAACAAACAAAAACAGACCAAGTAATGGACCAAATATTGGATGTTCATGTATATTTTGTTTAAATAAATCTCCAGTTTTCTCTCTTCTCAAAATATCAAGACGTCCTTCACTTCCTAAATGGTTAATAACTACCCAACATAAAGCAATAAAACGAAAAATATCGAGAAATGCAAATCTTCCATTATATTTTGTTGTGAATAGATTGTTAAATTTAAATAAAGAAATGATGGAGTAGGGCAATGACTTTAATAAAAAATATATATAAATGTGTAAAACTAATAAAAAGTTTTGTTTTTATTGATAAAATCTGAAAGTAATGGGAATTTAGGTAAGTTATTTCTTGTAACGAGATAATGAACGAGATAAGGAAATACTTCGAAAATTCTCCGGCTGACACCCCCCTTTTTTATGTTCTATTTTTTTCATTTTCTATGAAATTTCTATGAATTTTTTATATACATTCGAAATAGCTCTTCGAGTTGAGTCGAACGGCACTAGAATTATCGAAATCTGACTTAAATCAACATAGTTATGAGCATTTGTTTTAACATCACAAAAGGCATGTCCACAGAGGATTTAGCCTCATAATTTGTTAGATAATATTAGATAATATTTAGATAATTAGCTTCATAAATTTAACCGACCATAGTATCAATATACTCAGCTCGGACAGCTCTTTAGAATGATATATAAATTATATGTCAAGCAAAAAAGCTCAAAATGGTCAGGTAAGCATAAAAAAAGGGAGGGGGGTCAGCCAAAGAATTACCCTTAGAAATATTACCCTTAAAACCAGCCTTAGAACCAGCTTTAGAATTACCCTTAGAACCAGCCAAGATCTAGTATAATTAAATCCTTTATTTAGCAAATTTACCCACCATTATTATATTTAAACAGGCAAATGTTGCTTCCCAAAAACTTAAACTAATCCTTTTAATTTTAGCATCATGAATTAATAATAAAGATGACTGAGGCAAATGATGGTTTGAGGAATTAATTGAATATATTTTATTTTTTGAAGAAAACAACATTCGAATAAAAAAAGAAAATATTTAAAATTTAGGTATTTATTCAGTACTTTGGAATTAATGGATGAACAATTTCGTCAAAAATCGACGCATTTTTCTTTAATAAATTGATGGGAATTTTACTTAAAATAATTGTTTCTAGTTAATTTAAGTAATTGTGAATTGAAGTAAAAAATTATTTAAAATAAATTATAATTATTGAAGTAGACAAGGAAATACATAATTAAGAATGATTAGTATTTAATTTTTAAAAATTCGAGAATGAGCTTAGACAAAAGAACAAAAAACCCATCAATTTTTCTATAAATATCTAAATTATATTTTTATTCGCAAAATAGGAAATATAATCAATTTATTATTTAAACATCACTACATATGTACATATGTAGTTAGTACAGGTTCTCACACTTGTATGTTTGTATATAGTCACAGTTTTTATTGTACATACATACTATGTAGTTTAACTACTAAATATGTATTTAATACATACTAAATACATAATTTATTTTATTCCAAAAAACAAAAATTTCTTTAAAATGATAATCTAAAGGAAGGAAAATTTCTTCTAATTCTAAATTTAGAAAATTTGGAATTCCAACCATTCAGTTATTTACAAAAAAACTTGTAAAACTCTCTTAAAGTGTCCCGCAAAACTTGTGAGTTTTATAAAAAAATTATTTACAAAATTCTTGTAATATTAAATTTATTCTTTGAGTATACTATCAAAATAATTAAAGATGGTTTTGATAGTTTTAAGAGATTTTTTAGATGTTTTTTAATTTGTAACTAATTTTTACAAAATTAAAGATAAAATTCTAGATGCAATTAAATATGCATGTAACAGGAATGTATTTAAATACCTATCGTATTTACTCGATTAATTCCCCTGGGGAATTATTTCTTCAATACATGGGGAATTATTCAAGGGAGAAGAATTATTTGAGTTTTGAAATTTGAATTTGTAGTAGGGTATTTGGGGGAGGGAGATTATTGTTTCAACTCATCCCTGGCATGGGGAATTAATAGAGGGAGGGGAATTAATCGAGTAAATATTTAACTAGTGTTCTTCACTGTCGGTTAACCGAATGCCTGGGGTTAATAACTTATTAACCCATTAATAATAACCGATTAAACAACCCTATTCCTGACATTAACTCGATTCTTTTTATTTTTTTAGTTTTAAGTAAATATGTAGATCCAAAGTAATTTATTTTTTATTAAAAAATTTAAAATTTTTTAATCATAAAAATATAAATATTATACAAAATTTGGTTAAAATTTGAGAAATAAATGTATATCTTTAATCCTTTATTAAATTTTTCTTCAAGTTAACCCCCAAGTCTAGGAATACAAATATTTGTTCCAATTCCACAAACTTCTCTTTCATCGTGACAATCACTTTTAACACGGCATGCTTGAAATTTAAAATTAAATTAATTTTAAGATATTTAAAAATATCTTATCGAGACTAGAACATTTATTTATTATAATTTTAATTTCAAATTATTCTAAAAAAATTTTTTCCAATTTAATAAAATTAAATTTTAATTTAAAAATACATACGTTGTCCCTGCTTTCCCAAAATTAAATTAAAATTAAAAATTAAAATAAGACAAAGAAGGAAAAATAAGTTTTTCAAATTAAACATTTCTCAGAATAAATTTTTAAATTAAAATATGTATTAAAATGTTAATTTATTTATATAGTAAATTCGGGTTGTTTAAAATTCAAATTTAAATTAAATGATTAATTACTAGTTAAATTATATAATTTAAAACAAGTTTTAATTTAATAATAAATTTAAACTTCTCACATGTTTTAATAATTACAGGTCAAAATAGATCAAAAAAGGAAATTAATTTAAATTTAATTTATGTGAAATTATTATATAGTAATTAATTATTTAATTAATTTAAGAAAATATTTCTTAAGATAAAAATATTAATTTTTTAATTTTAAACGATAAAATAAAATTCTAAGATTTTTGTTTTAAAAATTTATAATTTAAACAAAAATTATTTAAATAAATTCATTAATAGAACAATAAATAGATTTAGTCTAAAATTTTAATTTAAATCTAAAGAAAATAAATGATTAATTAATAAGATTAGGGTAAAATATAGAACAAGGGTTTAATTGAAGTTTGTCGAATAAATAACAGAAAATGGAAAAAAGCAGAAAATAAAGTTTTGAAAAATGTTGATAAACATTATGTGGTTATGAAGTACTGAAAAATTTCCGGATATCCGGATCCGAAAATTTCAAGATATAGGGTATTTGGATCCACAAAGCCTAGTTGAGGGAAGGATTATAAATTTAATAAAAAAATTTCACTAAAATTACTAAAATTGTTTTAGTTATAATTAATTTTAATTAATTAATCCATTAATTCTCATAACAAATATTTTTTAAATTCCTTCAATCAATCTTTCTTTTAGACAAACGTTCAATATATATTTCCAACTTTCCATAAATATAATTATTTAAAAATTCAAAAATTTTTCTTTTAACCATTTCCTTTGTTTTTTCTTCAAATAATTTATTTAATGTTAAAGAATAACATTTTTCTGGTATTTTATTACATTTTTCAAAGAAATTATTCAAATTTTTATAGAATTCAATATTTTGTATATTTATAGAAAAAAATAAATTTTTATTAGCATGCATTGATTTAAATAATTCAAGGAATGCATGGAACAATAAAACTTTACAAATTATATCAGCAGATTCTAAAGGGTTGCGAACAAAAATAGAAGATCCATCTTAATATATTTTATTTTGGAAACGAGAATATTCATTTTAATAAAATAAAGTATTTGATAAAAATTATAAGTGCCGTGACAAAGAATCGAGATCAAAAGGTGTTACCATGATATAAAGTCGAATCGACCCGCTCACTAGTTCTTGATCTCCTTTGTCCGTCAGATCCAGTCCTAATTCCACCTACGTCTAGATAGTAAAACTCTACCTGAGATACTTCTTGCGCTCGACGACGCACACCTCGGAGTTTCCATATACATACATCTAAACCTAGGAAAGACCCGGATATATTAGACATACCTCTAAAACTCCAAACAAGTTCCAAACGAAAATCAAAAAGAATTGCTTTAAATTTCTTTAAAAATATTTCAATATTTTGTTTATTTCCATTTATTTTATTTAAATCTTTAAAAATATTATTTTCATTAATGATTTCATAATATTCTTTATTTTTTGAAATTAATTTATTATTAACATCTCTTGCCATATTTAATAATTTAAAATAAAATTTTTTTGCTTCTAATGGCTGAAGATGAATAATTCCATTCAATTCCCATTTACCTCCACATTTTTCTTTTGATTTTTCTTTTAATTTTAATTTAATTTTGCTAATAATTTTTGGATTATATTTTACGCTAAAAATAAATTATAAAAATATTTTCTGTAGAAATTCTAAAATTAATTTTTATTAAAATTTTGAACAATCATTAATTTCAAAGGAAACAAACTGTTTTCTTGATAAACTGTCTTCACAAGTTTCTGGAGGAAACAAACGAATCTTTCTTCCATGCAATTTTGTCATCAAATTATGATAATTCATTCCCATATACGAAATTAAATTACGAGGAGTTATTTCACCATATAAATACAAAATACATAATCCATTAATTAATGGCTCCTAAAATTAGTAGTTATTTAACTGGCAAAGTCTTCTAGTAACAATTAGGGATCAAGTGGGCGTTTATAATCTTTTAAAAATTCGGAAAACTCGATATATGATTTCTGTATTTCTGATACCAATTCGTTAAATTTTGTTAGTATTTTTACCCCATTCTTGGCCTATTTTGCCCCCTTTTAAGAAGCCATACTCTCACTTGGATATTTGGAAGAGGCCGCCCTGTTAGGGATTTTTTTCACTATTCTCAATATAACGACAAAAAATTTTATTAAGTATTTAAAATTATAATACAAAATTTAAGCATAACAAAATTTTATAATTACCGATAGTCCAATCTTCTTCCTTTCAACAGGATCACATTTCATATAATTATTTATTTCCCTATCAAATTCCAAATTTTCCTCTCGAAAATAATTAATTATTTCAATTTCCGAATCCCCATTTAAAAGATAATTTCGTTTTAAAGGTTTCTCTCCACAAAAAAGAATATTTTGACTTTCATAAATTTCCTCAAGTTTTCTATTTCTTAAACTAATAATTTAAAAAATATTTTTATATTAAAAAATTATATCTATTTACGATTTTTTGTTATCATTTTTCTTTAATTTTTGAGTATTATTAACTTTCTTTCCAAAATTTATTTTTGATTTATTTGAAGAAATACAATTATCATTACTATCTTCATCTTCACTAGGCTCGTAAGCTTAATTAATAAACAGAAATTAAAAATAAATTTTTAATTGGTGCTTAGTACGCTTACAAAGGAGACTTTTGCGAAATTTACACCATTTTCACTGCGGGGTACAAGGTACCAAGTTATAAGACCCCAAAGTGGATCCTAAAACTTTGGGACACCATAGGCACTCGACGGACACATCAGGCACTCTCTTTTGTTAGAGTTTTGCTTTGATTACGGCAACTAAACCATGCAACTTAGAAACTGCGCTTTTTTCTAATCTTGTGATTATTATATTTTTAAAATCTAAATACATTTATCACTATCCAAATTAGCATTTGATGAACAACTATTTACTTCAGAATTTGTAGATGAGCTTAAAAATAGTTTAGAAAATAATAAACTTGATATTATTTTAGACCTTTTAGTTTTTAAAATGATATTTTTCCATTTTCTTCCGGCAGAGTTTCTTGACATATTTTGATATCTATCTCCACGTTTTCTTTTAACCTTTAATAATTAAAGAAATTAATGATAATTAGATAAATAAAGAAATTACCTTCCAAGTATTTTTTGAAATAGTAGATTCTAAATTTGTTATTGAAGGAAAAGCTAAATTATCTGATTGTTCGATTGGAGAAATAGATGAAGTGGAAGCATCATAACACA